CGACGATTACTGGTTTAGGACGACGACGCGCAGTACACGGAAAATTCTGTTATTATTTCACTAACTAACTAAATTCGTTGGATTTTAAGTTACTTAGTTATTTTACGTCCATTACGAATGGTTTAAAAATAAATTCGTATTACAGTGTTTGATCGATGTCATTCGACCGCCACTCTTCATCACAGCCATTGCTCTAAATAATATTATAATATTTGTATTTGCCACGGACGAAMTATTATGATATAGTTTGTTCATCTGCACTGGCATCTAGTCAAACCGACCACAGCGTCCATCACCATCGTCGCCATCGGTATCATTTTGTCGACAACCGGACGTGCTTCCGACCACCGCGGACGACTGATGACATGATTTGGGACAGTTGCAGCATGGTGTGCCTGGCTTGATCGACGACGTGGGTCCGTCTTCTTTCTTGTGTTTAACTCGTCTATTCTGAAACCAAATTTTCACTTGCTTCTCAGACAACCGAAGACAGTTGGCGATTTCTATGCGCCTCAATCGCGACAAATACATGTTGCTGGAGAATTCTCGTTCCAACTCCAACAGCTGGTTACTGGTGAACGCTGTTCGGATCCTTTTCGAACTACCGGAATCTGTGTCACTCTCACCATTTTCTCGTAGTGAGTCTTCAGCCACAGCACAATCTGTACGAAAAAAAAAATACAAAAACGTAAGATGCCATTTTTTAAGTATCTTGGTCACATTACACAATAKACCAAAATTAATGGACTATTATCATATATGGTCGCATGTACAACTACAGATAAATCTTAAAATTTAACCACCGTGATAAAGTATAGGTATATTATATTCTTCATAATATTTAACATTGAGTAAGTAAAGATTTCGTTTACAAAATCTAAAACAATTATGTAATTTTTAAAATATATTTTTAAGCATTCTAAAAGAAATATTTGTTTTAAATGCTGACTGGAATTAATTGAAAAAAAAATAAAAGTATATAATTAAATTTAAATAATGAGTAATGGAGACAAGGACAAACTGAAAGAAGGTTATGGGTGAGTGACACCCACCCTCTCTGCAACATTATTTAACTTTTAGTTGTCAGCTCGACATTTGAAAATTCAGTAATTTTTAAAACTATATCCCCTCTACGCCACTGATTTTTTTAAAATTTTACTTTGAAAGAGAAAAAGTATTATTTCGTAGAATATTTAAAATATATTACTTTTATGCTAATTGGAAAGAAATAAGTTTTTRTAATCTACATTCTTTAGTTACTAKTAAATAATAATTGATATAAAGTACGCAAAGTAAAATCAAGAAGTCTTTCTACGAACATTTTAAATAGGTAATATCGTTATAAAAACTAATATTATTAGATATCTTATAAACAATTTAAACAATATTTAAATTATTTCCAAACCTATGTCATAACATCATGCACAGACGACTAAACAACTAATATTATGTAACAAATGCATGACAAACGAATTTGATTGTAAAATTATTTTTTAAATTTGAAATTTATATCTACATTTTACCTTTTTTACAATAATACAATTAATCAGAAAGGTACAAAAAATGAGTCTAAAAATAAATTGGGCGTTTTCAATTTTGAATATAATACTGTTTCTATAATGGTACTTAATTGATAGACGATGAAATTGATGATGAAATTTAAAAATAATAACCATTCTTTCCGTTTTTAGTAAATACGCATTTATTATATTATAAAACTTACCCGGATCGTAAGCCATCGTTTCATTTACGGCTCTCTTTTTCGCCGTAGTTTTAGTATGGTGTGGTTTGTTCCTCTGGCTCGTSTTGGTGGCTACAACGGGGACGGGTTTTACGACGGCCGATGAACCCTGTTTCTGGTGTTGGTGATTGTGGTGTGGCTGTTGGTGGTCCTTGCCGAATGCAACCCCGCCACCTACACCACTACTACCACCAATCGGATAACCGAAATATCGTGGATTAGTAGCCGATGGAAACGTAACGGGCGTTGATGATTGGTATCCGTAGACAGCGGCTGCCGCTGCAGTYCTGTTCAAGAACTGAATGTACTCGTTGAGTTGTGGGTGATAAGATACGGAGGCCGCGGATACGGTGGCTGCAGCGGCGGCAGCAGCCACGGCGGCAGTGGTGGAGGGACGTTTGACGCTGCCTATGAGGGTGTCGATCAGAAATGACCGGGACATAGTCTTYTTGGTCGAGGTCATCGTCACGGGCCAACGAGGGCCGTCCATATCGTTTGGCGGTGGAAACGACTTGGAATTATTAGCAACCCGATCACACGCACGTGACACAACGTCGAGACTTTTATAAACGAAAAAGATGGCAATATAATTAAATTATATTGATATAGTTCAATACACAAACTTTAACACAGACATGATAATACGATCTGCAGTTCTAATAGTAACTACGAGATAAATGTATACGAGTTTTACGCACGAACACGACGACAACCAGCGTTGAGGTCTTCGGCAGCGGGGTTGTTAGGAGACTGACTGTCTACCAGAGATCTGCGTCGCACCAACCCCACTGACCGGCACCGAGGGCCGTCCCCACCACCAAACCGTGATCCATTTAGCAAGCACCGCCTACTCATGTCTTGTATGGAACGACCCTTTTTTTCAGCCCTCAAGGGGGTTTCGAGTGCAGCGTTTCTCTCAGTGGGTGCGTATCGCCTCTGCCATTGTACACAATGGTGTGTTTGTTGACTGTTTTTAAAAACTCATCTCGCTAATTGTCCGTCAGTATACAAATATATATCTGTACAATAACCGAAAATCAATCCACTCGACCAACCCCCACCCTCCTTCCCAATACAAATGTTATAGACCGAATTTCCTCACGATCAAACATCACACCAGTCCCAATTTTATTAATAATGTCCCGATTACTTTATTCGCAACCACTCCGTGTTCTTCTACCACCCTGTGTGTTTCATTATTGTAATCCATGATGCACCAGACGTGGAAACGTCATGCTTTGCTGTCAACTAATCGTGATTCGTGACAAACGACAGTAAGATATTTATTCTGTTCTGTATATAGGTACGTGAACSAAAAATCTATTAGATTACATTTGTATACTCGTAGTAAAGACTTTACGCATTTTATACGTAAGTTACTTCACGTGRTTATTACCGAAAGCATGAACACGGATGATTGTAGACTCTCTCTATTTTATTCACCTACAAACTCTTCTGATGGTAAACTCTCCCGGATATATTTCTATAAAATCCAACAGGTAYATGTGTTTTATTAACTCTTACGAGTCTATTTCGGTACTACCTGAATAGCATATGCATATATGCATAAAATCTCCCAACTCTGTAATTGTATCATTTTAATTAAATGCTTATAATAATATGAATATACATTTTTTTTAAATATAATATACATTTGAATTTAATTTAATTTAATTAAAAGCCAACTACATCAACAATAGTACCTGAAGAGTAAATGATAATAATAATAATAATAATAATGTAAATTAATTTACGATAATGTGACCCATTCATTTAAAAAAAAAAATATATAAATWTATCTTTTTTTTGCTAGTCTATAATTTTGGGCGATTGTAAACTCTCCCTATAGTAAACTCTCCAGGGTCTACTCCAGTACTAGCTGACGGAAACGTGTAAGCTCTCCCGGGTTTATTCCTGTACCACCTGATAGAAACACGTAAACTTTCCCGGGTCTAGTAAAAATTATAAAATAAATTTWATATAGATTTAAGTTGCGTTTAAAAATAGTCAATCATATATTATAATAACAATAATAATAATGACAATATAAATTAATGTCTTTAGCTCCTATGAGCTATAATATTATAGTCAAAATACAATAAAAAATAAAATATCAAAAAATTTGATATACATATTTTAAGTTTCTTTTAAAAATAGTCAATAATAATAATAATAATATAAGTTACACATACGAAATATACGTAAAAATGTTAAAATTATTGTTTTTGATAATAAGAACATACAGATTTAAAAAAAGTTAGGGAATCTATTTTTTTTTTCTAAAAAAATGTTTCAACATTTAAAACAACTCGGGAGAGTTTACATACTTCCTACAGGTAACTATCAAGTTAACCGGGAGAGTTTACACATTTACTTCGGGTAAACATAATATTAACCCGGGAGAGTTTACTATTTTTAAAAATCGGGCGAGTTTACTATAAAATCGAGAGAGTTTATCACCGCCCATAATTTTAAAACAACACGGGATAGTTTACACATTTCTTTCAGGTAAACATAATGTTGACCCAGGAGAGTTTATCATCAGCGATCGTGAAAGTTAACCATCACTCCAGTGTACACTATTATATTATTCTTAGATAGTTAGGTCGTATCTTAAGATTAATCATATTCTACCTACACCCTACACCATAATACATGATACAATTTTTTTTTTATTATTGATAATCAGGCTTATCAATATATTCCACTTAAATTTTTTGGAGTATTTAGATTTAGTAGTTGATTAGTTATAGCTTTAAAAGTACTTAAAGTTTAGATGAGCCAAGAAGAGTAGTACTAATTAAGTACTCCGCAAAATGTTATTCCACTATTCGTCGGCACATCAATCTTTAAATTACTATAAGGCTATATCAAATTAATTTCTATATCAATAGTTCAAAAATCCGAGTTTATATGTCAATTAAAATTAATATTTTCAAATAAAATAAGAGTTTTTGAAATAATTAGTGTAGACACTTAAATGATAAGTATAATATATTTATAGTGTATTATATCGTATATCTCTATCTATATATGATGTTTTTATTTAACATATTTATATTGAATGTCATTTTATYCTCGGAGTTATTAAATTTAGCACTATGGATGTCATAAACAATAAATGTAATTTAATGTAATAAATATTAAAATAAAATTTCAATGAGAAAATTATATTTTTACTTTGTACGACATCAGTGACAGCACCCATCTTATAATGATATTATTTAACTATTTTAATACTTAACTGACGTTTCATTAATTTGATCTGGTTTTCTTTGGATTTTAAAATTAATTAAAACTATAGAGTGCATTTTTAATTTTTAATGAACAAAACATAAAAAAATATKGTAAAATTATACTTAAAAACTGAATCATTTATCTAAGTAGATAGCATAATATTTAGTTATAAAAAAAAAAAATTTTACAGTGCGATATATTATGATAGTGAGTAATACACTATTGGATATTATACATTTTGTTTCGTAATTTTATATAGTTGGTGTTGCCATCAATAAAAATATTTATATTTCTTTCTTTATTTATCTATTTATTTATTTGCCCACAATAGACCTAAACACTTCTAGACSATTTTTAATAAAAGTTGTATCAATAGATGATAGAATGTGAAACCCATAGTTACAGGAAACAGCCAACCTAAGAAGAGATGAATCAAAAACGTGTTTTCAGACTGGAAGATAATTGTATTATAACGAAAGTTGACTTTTAAAGGGTTGGTAAGGTTTGGGGGGGGGAGGGGGTTCCCCTTTTCATATATTAAAGTTTATCGTTTTTCTGGGCCTCAGATATCTCAAATAAACACTTGCCAAGCATTGAGGAAAGCAATCTACAGACTTCCAAATTGAACAATGATTACTGTGTGTTTTTTTGATTATTTATGAAATTATGTTCCAAATAATTCAGCCCATATTATAGTGGATAAAATAAAAATAATAAAAAAACATAGAATCGTGGTTATTAAATCTCAATGAAGAAATATAGATTTTTTTGAACTAATACCAATTTTTTTATTTAAATTTTAAATAATACAAATGTATACTGTCGTATTAGGTACATGTTTAATAAAAAGATAATTAATTATTCTGATTAGAACATTTTTACAATAAACAGTCGAAAATATTKATTTTGTGTTATAAAAATTATTGAAATGTATAACCACCCTTATTATTACCACATATCTTCATATTTCTTGTTATTTTTAGGATATGTTATATGAGAAAAYTGATCTGTTTAAGCTACTTAACCTATATACAGAAATCTGGCACCAAGGTTCACGAACTGGAATCAATCATGAAAATAATATGTTCTGAAAACGAAACCAATATATTTATTTTAAGAAAATTATAATATTCTGGTTAGAATCATACTGGAATTCATACATCATTACACATTTTTAGTTGATATAATACTATATAATAATATAATAATTGCTTTTCAATACGTTTCGTATACATTTAATTTTAAATCTTCAATGGTTTTCACACAAAAATACAAAACACATTTTTCTGTAAATAATTTGTACGTCTTTTTTTCATTAATTTTTAATAAATGTATTTAATGTGTAAATTGAAGTGTTTTAAGGTGGCAATTATATTATGATGATGATAATATCGGTTTGTGGTTATAATTACAATTAACCAATATATGATATGTTTAGTAATGTGAATTAAATTTCGCTATAGTTAATAATGCCCATCTAGCTTAGTATGTAAGCAATTTGTTTTATTTTACCTATTTTATCTTTTATTTGTTGCATTATTAGCTTTATGTTAATCATTGTTATAAATCTTGTGTAACTTAATCAACTTTAAATTGTCGTAAAATATATTATAAAATAAATAATAAAATTAAAACATTAATTCTCATATTATACATATAGAATGTGAAGTATTGTTTTAAAAACAAAAATACTATTATTTATTACGGAGGAGATTTTGTAAAATAACGTTAGAGTTTTATAAGAATAAGCTTTAAAACCACATAATGTTTTTTTATAAATTACGGTAAGCTAAAAAATAAGTTTATATTTTCTAAATTATTAAAAGGTGTACACACACACACACACACACACATATATATATATATAATATTATATATAGTAACAAAAGGAAAACTTGTATTTCGCAGAGAAGTAATCTACTGAAAAAAAAACGAACAAATTACGCTGTGTACTTTATCGTGACCAATTTAAGAAGGATTTTGTATAATCGTGGAAATTGAAGCGCATCGAAGTACGTTTTTAAACGTTACGATTATTTAATCCATTTGGTTTAACGAATTTAGTACGAGCGTATTTGAATAATATTGTAGTCGATGATTGGGGCGATTATCGCACGCCTGTAAACAACGACAATAATACCAATAGTCAAAATATCGGGAACGGATGGTGCAATTATTAATGTTTTTCTCACTTAGGTACCATTATATCTTGAGACTTGTTAGTATCGTTCAACGTATTCCGACCTTATTTAATTCGTCATGATGTTATCTACCGTTAAAAATCATACAAATAATAATATGGACTGTCGCCGCGCTAGAGTTGCTATATTTGTAAAATTTCAAATATAAAGCTTATGATATACGAGTTAAAGTTCAATACAAGTACACACGAAATCCTCAACTGTACGTATTCATTTAAAATTGACAAAATTGTGATATTTTTCAACACTGTCATTTGTCATTGTCGTTGTCGTTGTATTTCCAAATTCTAAGTAATAA